AAATTTAATCGCATTGTGTTTAAGAAGTTATATGTTGTGTACTTGGTAATTTTTTGAAAACAAACACTCGATATCTCTAAAAAAAAAACACCGATCCATATCTAATATGCAACGAATCGTCAATCGCACACTCAGATACGCATTTCTCTTAGAAATCATTGTAATACTTTTCGCCTCTTTTCAAGAACAAAATCGAAAAATCCAAATTGTATGTGAATCGAAGGAAGTTGGACGAAAATAATATAGTTTCGATAGCAATAAAATCTTTCTTATAGTTATAATCTTTCTTATAGTTTTTGAAATATCGTGCAATAAGACATTGTGCAATAAATAAAATCATAAGTCATACAAATACTTGTAAAATGTCAAATCATTAGTTATACGAATACTTATAATAGACATCTTTTATTGCAATAAGAATGATCAGACAAATGAATGATTCGTTCGACTTCGCTTCGAGAAAAAAGACGCACTGTCGGATTCAAACAAGTGAATGAAGTTTATTTATTATTAGATCTTACATTAGATTATAGCGACTCTTTGATAAATCTGGCCAATTTTCAAGAAAAAAACTTTGCATAGAAGAACGTGAATAATTAGCAAGGAGAAATGGAAGAAGCATGGTACTCACTTGTCACGTTAATTTATATGTATATATCCGAAGGTGTACACACACACACACACACACACACACACACACACACACACACACACACACACACACACACACANACACACACACACACACACACACACACACACACACACACACACACACACACACACACACACACAACGCGCGCGCGCACCTTTGTATTTCAGCCGCATCAAAGGCTGAACAATCAAACGAAACAAGCATTAAGAACAAAACGAAAGAAGGGAATAAAAGACTTCGCAGAAGCGCGGGGAAAAAGAGAAATAAATTTGAGATTTCGCGAACGAGTCTCCAAGAATTCATTTCGCTGAATTTAATGTCTGAAAAGAGGAACAGGGAGAAATTTAATCGAGCGATTATATTTTCGCGAAAGATGATGTCGCGCTTGGATATTTAGAAAAAAAAACAAGAACGCACCAAACGGCAATCTCACGGCCTGAAAAGATAGCAAAGCCAATAAATAAATAAATAAATAAGAACAAAACGACACGACGGAAAGGTGGTGTATGTATATTGCGCCTCCTTTCCCCATATTAAGGATGGCCTATATCGCACTCGTTTGAAAAACTTATCGCAAGAATGCACAAGAAGTAGCGTACACTTGCTGTACCACTGTTTGTTGACTCGATATAAATGCTGATTAAACAAAAAGAGGTTGGTTTGGTTTATATGTACACGGTGAGTCCACGATTACGTGCGCAAGCGGAACGCTCGCGATCGCTCGCAGACGAAGCTGAGAATATCGTTTCGCGGAATGTTATTTGCAAGAATATATACATATATATATATATATATATATATATATACAATTCGGAATAATATAAAAAAACGCAAGAAAAGCTGTGTTTTGAACGAGCACGAGCGTCCGACGCGATAATATTGTTATTATATGAACGTACTCAAGACGGTATGGTATACACAAGACTAAGAACAAGACCTAAAATAGGGACATAATATTTTATAACTCAACTTTTGTACAGAATAAATAAATACTTGTACTGTGGACCAATATTTCTTTCATTTCATTCACACTAAACCATCGTCGTTAAAAATTATACTTTTATAATAAAATTTTTATTACAAAAGCAAAATCACTCTTATCCTATATCTATTATAAACATGACACATGTATAAATTTCTTTATCAAGTGTTTAGTTATTTACTTTTCTTTAGAAAAAAAAAAAATATATATTTTACAAATGAACAGGTTGAGTACCGCGCCAATTTTACGTGACTTGCTCACGGCGCCGAAATGAAAAAAATTTTTTGCTATGCAATGCAATATTATTAAAATATTATTTAAGACAGATAAGATGAAACTACATTCTCATGTTTTATGCATTTATTTTACTGAGGATGACCTCCACGGCGCTATAGTGCGTTTTTTTCAATCTCACGCTATATTTCATTTATTGTTTACGAAAGTCAGTTGTCTCAATCGTTTCTTATTTTGCTCATTCTTTGATTGTTAAGTCTATCTAACTATTAGGTAATTATATCCGTTACATTTCTACGTGCGCGCTACGGTAAGTTTTGCATTTTATTTTTTATTTTTTATTTTTTAAATAGTCTTTAAAAGTAATATGTCGTCAAAGATTGTGTCTTAAGTCATTAATTAAATGATTTGTTTTTACCATCTCGTTATAAATGCCGTCGAATACCATCGGATAGTGAAGAAAGTTCCATATCGCAACGTACGCGTATGTGTACAATTTTAAATAAAACTATTTTTGTTTTATAGTGCATTAGTTTCTTTACATTTTTGTAATAACAATAATTAATATTGAAAATTTTAGAAGTATTGTTATTTACTTGAATTACGCGTTTTTATTAAGGTTGGCAACGCCGGTCATCGATGATCCTCACGGCGTCACTGGCAAGTCGAACGCCGGTCACCAGTGACCCTCACAGCACTCAAAGTGTTAAATTTATAATTATTCTGATGTTGAGGAGTTTCCTCGGGCTCCTTTGGATATGCCAATAATTATAATTGTGATAAGGGCTATTGGAACCGTTAAGCAGGATGTTATGCCGTAAATAAATGTATTAAATCTTATTTACAAACGTTTCGGTTTTTTTATTCAAACCATCTTCAGTGTATCTGTTACAGTTA